CCATGCTCCTGAGTAGATCCATATTGGAACGTCGACCCTGCTAACACTGCGTCACTCATCAGCTTATCTCCTTCTACATTAGAGTTATTCTGTTCTGGGAAATGGAACACAAGCCCTTTATCTTTATTAATGTATGTGGTGCCGGTTCAGGACGCAACAGAGTTCTGTCCCAAGGAATCTCTCTCCAAGTCTAAGATAGATTGTTTTACTCTCAACTCTCTCGCCTTCCTCCCCGTCGGATCCACCACTTGCAAATATTGTCTAGCCACGTTTAAAACATCGTTATCAATCTTCAACTTCCCGGTTCTACTATCCATACCGACTTGATCTTCCGTTAGTACACCAAAAAGAGGATCATCAGGTAATAGTTTTGGGCGCTGGACATCTACCACAACTGGAACCGATTTCGGTGCAGGAACTGGTAACTTGATTAGGTTTTTTCCGCGAGCAGGGTTATCAGGGCATCTGGACTTGTTGTGTGTTAACCTCTAACACTGGAAACATCGTTTTTGTATCCTTTCATATTCAAATGTTACCGTGACCACCGATTCATCCGGCAGCTCCACTGTCTTGAAGTTGCGAAGTGGTTTAGAAGTGTCGAAAAGGACACGAGCCCGAACATATCTCTGACTCTGAGGTTTCTTCGGATCAAAAGCAACCTCAATCACCTGTCCAATCACCTTGCAATATCTGTGATCGTAGCCTCATTGTAGTAATTCACCGGTATTTCATACAGCCTGACCCAAACCGGAAGGATAGTAAGAAAATCGTCTAAAGGTTTTTCAACCCATCTCTCCAACGTAACACACCAATCATCTTGGGTATAAACACCTACTTTCAAGACCTTTAGTAGATCTTCCTCATGAAAAGTATCCTTCGTGAGGGAAACTCCTCTAACCCTATCAAAACAATTAAAAGCTCTTGGGAGATCCCAAAAAAGGCTTTTCATGTTCTGGTTCTTCGGGTTTCAACATCTTCCCCATGATACTCATTTTGTTTCTGTCAGTGGAGCGATATTTCTTATGGCTAGACAGCTTCAAGGGATTATCTTCTTCGATCGTCATTGATTGCAGAGCTTTGTTAAGGTCCATCTCCATGAGAAGACTATGTGTTTCTCAAAAAAGTGAATAGACGGGAGCAGAAAAACTTACAGACGGTGCCTACACCTCCTAAGGAACTAGGGTAAATTTCTGCTGGTCGTAACTTAAACTTTCTGAAACTGGAAGAAAATGAGAATATCTTCAGCACGAGTTGCCTAAAACGATAGGAAAGAAACCATCTCAATGGAATAGAGAGACCTAAGCCTTACACAAGGCGATTCTGAGTTTTTTTGGTTTGTTGTGATCTTTTATATATATATATAAATGGAGGTTGTTGTGTGTAAGGTAAGATCAGGCCTAAGGCATGAACAGAAGCGGGTGTGGTTTTCTGGATCTTTCTCATGTCTAAGGTAAGATCAGCCTATCCATCGGATATGTGAAAATCTCGTCTCTTGCAGGAGGTGATGAGTTTGCCTCCATCCTTGTTGGGTCGAAGAGAAGGAGAGAATCCAAAGGGAGAGTAAAGAAAATGGAACTAACGTTGTTATATATATGAAAATGGAGGTTGTTGTGTGTTTATAAAAAGATATGAAGAGATTTATTTCTTTGTTCATGCTTGACCTTCAAATTTTTTTATTTTATTTATTTATTTTAAATCTATTTCTCTTAGTATATTGTATAGATATCTCTCTTGTTTTAGTTTGCAATATAAATAAATAAATTTGTTTGGTTCTGATTATTTTGTTAGACAAACGGAAGAGGAATTATGATTAGGCCTGAGGTGTGTGACATTTTAAAACAAAAAAGTTTTGTATTTTTCCTTTTTCGATAATCCTATAAGAGTATGTTCTGCAATTTAACTAATATTTATTTTTATAGTTTGACAAATATTTCAAAGTTAAAATGGGAGCTTTACAAAGTTCTTCAAAAAGTAAATCACATACCAAAAATTCTTGTCATCGTTCATGCATCGCATACAACACAGCCTGTGTTTTTACCAAAAAAAAAAACACAGTCTGTGCTTACACAAGCCAATATTCATTAACCTTGTCTACTTAAAAATCTTGTCCTTTTATTAACGTTTGAACAAACGCTCCTCACCAGATCGAGGATCGACGTCTTTAATCCAACGGCTAGAAAGCTTCTTCAAATCACCACCACCACTGGCTTCAACGTGTGTGATATCTAACCCTCTCCCAACAAGTAAAAACACCAATCTCACGACAGGTGTGCCTCGTCTCAAAACACTGTGCCATTTTAATCTGGGGTTACATATCTTTGTGGCGCTTTTGCACACTCATCCATTTTGCTCGTGCTCGCAGCGTTTCAAGTCTTCCACCATGAAGTCAGAGTATTATCATCATCATCCCATGCATGTATAACAACAATACGTAGAAAACAAACATAGCCACATTTATATTTTCATATAGCCACATTTATATTTTCATATCGCAAAACCTTTTTCTATGTTTTGCGACAGTATTAACTAAAACAACAAGGCAATAAAAGAAACTAGATAATAATTGATATCCAAAGTACAACTTAGATACCAACATCCTTTGAGTCACATTATCAAATATTAAACACACATAAAACAAATACGAAAAATAGTTCTCGAAATTTAGACCCTTAAAAAAACCTCCTATTAATTAGGAAAAAAGGGACTAAATGGTTTATTACAAGCAACGAAAAACAGATTCGGAATCAAACTTTATCAGAAGCATTCGATGCTAAAACCTTTGTTGCCTTTAGGTAGTTCATTCAACTTGGCCACCCATGATTCTGCCTCTAACTTCATCTTGGCTGCCCCCAACGTCCGGTTTAACAGAAACTATTGGGTTCCTACCGGTGTTCCTCACCCTCACTTGAGCTACGACATATCAATTCTCACTCAGGTACAATAACAAGCTATTGCATTGATATTTATAATATAATCAATTTCACATATATAACATCTTGGCTGTAAATCAATCTTAGGAGGAAAACGGAATTTGGCATGAGCTTATGGTGAGCGAGTTTGGTGAAAAGAGACGTCATGGATCTTTATCAGTGAGTATGGATTTAATTAATCCGAAAGAAGTGAAGATATTGAAGGAAGTATTGATTATTTGGTCCACTGAAGAAATGAAAGATCTTGAGATCTTGTTTAAGGTACTTTACCATTTATATCTCCAGCTTCAAAACTCTAGCTACTTAATTTTGGTTGAAGTTTGAGGACTTTGCATTTCCATTTCCTAACTTTGCAAAGTCCTCAAACTTCAACCAAAATTAATTAGCTAGAATTTCGAAGCTGGAGATATAAATGTTACAGTACCTTAAACAAGATCTCAAGATCTTTCATTTCTTCAGTGGACCACATAAGCAATTCTTCCTTCAATATCTTCACTTCTTTTGGATTAGTTAAATCCAAGTTCACTGATAAAGATCCATGACGTCTCTTTTCACCAAACTCGCTCACCATAAGCTCATGCCAAATTCCTTTTTCCTCCTACGATTGATTTACAGCAAGATGTTATATATGTGAAATTGATTATATTATAAATATCTAAAATGCAATAGCTTGTTATTGTACCTGAGCTAGAACTGATAGGTCGTAGCTCAAGTGAGGGTGAGGAACACCGGTAGGAACCCAATAGTTTCTGTTAAACCGGACGTTGGGGGCAGCCAAGATGAAGTTAGAGGCAGAATCAAGGGTGGCCAAATTGAATGAACTTCCTAAAGACAACGAAGGTTTTAGCATCGAATGCTTCTGATAAAGTTTGATTCCGAATCTGTTTTTCGTTGCTTGTAATAATGAGGTTTGTTTAAGGGTCCAAATTTCGAGAACTATTTTTCGTATTTGTTTTATGTGTATTTAATATTTAATAATGTGACTCAAAGGATGTTGGTATATGAGTTGTACTTTGGATATCGAATATTATCTAGTTTCTTTTATTGCCTTGTTGTTTTAGTTAATACTGTCGCAAAAAAACATAGAAAAAGGTGTTTGCGATATGAAAATATAAATGTGCTATATGAAAATATAAATGTGGCTATGTTTGTTTTCTACGTATTGTTGTTATACATGCATGGGATGATGATGATAATACTCTGACTTCATGGTGGAAGACTTGAAACGCTGCGAGCACGAGCAAAATGGATGAGTGTGCAAAAGCGCCACAAAGATATGTAACCCCAGATTAAAATGGCACAGTGTTTTGAGACGAGGCACACCTGTCGTGAGATTGGTGTTTTTACTTGTTGGGAGAGGGTTAGATATCACACACGTTGAAGCCAGTGGTGGTGGTGATTTGAAGAAGCTTTCTAGCCGTTGGATTAAAGACGTCGATCCTCGATCTGGTGAGGAGCGTTTGTTCAAACGTTAATAAAAGGACAAGATTTTTAAGTAGACAAGGTTAATGAATATTGGCTTGTGTAAGCACAGACTGTGTTTTTTTTTTTGGTAAAAACACAGGCTGTGTTGTATGCGATGCATGAACGATGACAAGAATTTTTGGTATGTGATTTACTTTTTGAAGAACTTTGTAAAGCTCCCATTTTAACTTTGAAATATTTGTCAAACTATAAAAATAAATATTAGTTAAATTGCAGAACATACTCTTATAGGATTATCGAAAAAGGAAAAATACAAAACTTTTTTGTTTTAAAATGTCACACACCTCAGGCCTAATCATAATTCCTCTTCCGTTTGTCTAACAAAATAATCAGAACCAAACAAATTTATTTATTTATATTGCAAACTAAAACAAGAGAGATATCTATACAATATACTAAGAGAAATAGATTTAAAATAAATAAATAAAATAAAAAAATTTGAAGGTCAAGCATGAACAAAGAAATAAATCCCTTCATATCTTTTTATAAACACACAACAACCTCCATTTTCATATATATAACAACGTTAGTTCCATTCTCTTTACTCTCCCTTTGGATTCTCTCCTTCTCTTCGACCCAACAAGGATGGAGGCAAACTCATCACCTCCTGCAAGAGACGAGATTTTCACATATCCGATGGATAAGCCTGATCTTACCTTAGACATGAGAAAGATCCCGAAAACCACCCCCGCTTCTGTTCATGCGGCTGATTCAATGATCAAGGTCAACTCTCTTCGCTATGAATTTGTGGTGGAGATGGAAATGGAGGTGTATTAACGTCTTTCATGGCACAGGAAAGTATATGGACAGAGTTAAAATTGTCAAGGACCAGGCAACAGAGGTGACATTAACGCAGGCGAAGGAGGGACTTAAGAGGACCGTGAACACAGAGCGAGTAGAGAGGCTAATACGATGGACATATCCAGACCAAGGTTGGGTGAAGCTCAACATGGACGACACATCAAGAGGAAATCCCGGCATAGCGGCTGCAGGAGGAGTGATTCGTAATGCAAGTGGGTTGTGATGTAGAGGCTTTGCGCTAAACATTTGAACATTCACAGCTCCATCATCGGAGCTATAGGATGTATATTATGGTTTGTTGATTGCGTGGGAGAGTAAGGCTCATAGAGTAGAAGTCGAGGTGGATTCAGAGATGGTGGTTGGTTTTCTTAAGACAGGGATCAATGAGGTGCATCTGCTATCGTTCGTGATGTATTTGTGCCATGGCTTTATATCAAGGGGCTGGAAATTCGTATTTTTTCATGTGTATAGGGAAACTAATCACTTGTGGACGGATTAGCTAACTATGTGTTTTCTTAGTCATTGGGTTTTCACTCTTTTAATTATGTTCCAGATATTCTTAATTCTTTTTTTAGAAGACTTTGTTGGGGTTTCAACCTCACGTCGAGTATGGTTGTAAGTGCTTATTATTTGAATAAATTAGGGGATTTCACCCTCTCCTTCGACCAATTAAAAAAAAGTCCACGTGAAGTTTTGAAATATTCAAATGGGTTTTAGAAAAAGAAATATAGCGTAGCTGTTTGGCTTTAGTGTTGTTCCATATTTACCATTGGCTTTGCTATTTTTCAAACGTGTATCGTTCAAGTTACCAATAAGATTTTTAAAATAGATAACATAAATGTAAACCCTAAACATACATTTTTATTCTGTTTTATTTTGAAGAAATTAATCTTAATGACAGAAAAATATTACAATTTGATTTATGATGAAAGTGTGATATTGTGTAGATGATTTTTTTTGATTATGGACAATATCTTACGTTTTGATAAAATAAAGGACAAAAAAAAAAAATTACCTGCTGAGAAAACTTTGCACGGCCACCAACAATGGCGATTTGGTGCTAATCACTGACATAACGCGGCCATCTGCGTTCCGTCCACTATTCACGTGAGAATCAGAATAAGAAATTTGAATTAGCACTGGAGAGTGTTAGCTCTCTATTCTTCTAGCCCCTCTCCTTGATGTCTTTGACATCTTTCCTCATCTTTGTCTCTCTCTTTCTCGGCGGCGTATCATAATATATAAATGGAGAAGAAAAAAACTAGGGTTATGTTTTATAGGAAATGTAATGGGCCTTAAATATTTTACATTGCTCTGGTAGGTCCATATAGGTCCATAATCATTAGACAATTTTCTATCCTAAATCATTGGATTTTTTATTCTTATTATATTTACTAGTGAATGAAACTCTCCGCAAGCATGGGGTTGCTTGTGAATTTTCCTTTGTAGTTTTTTTTGTTTTCGTTGATTTGAATTATGATGATTTTGTGTTAAATATCATTGGTTATGTTTTGAGTTAATCCAACCCACAGTAAAAAAAATACATTATGTCTTTTTTATTAAGATGTTAACTCTAATACTTAAATTTAGCTTTCTATTTCTAAATGTTTAACATATTTTAATATTTTGCTTGTTTAGTTCCATTAAACTAAAAGTTAGCATTTGACTCAAGGAAAGAATTATTAAACTTGGGTGTAGAATCATATTTTGATTTGTAATATGACAAAATACATATATTTTTTATGTGAATGGGGTTTGAGCATAATGCCAATTGATTCTTTTATACAATTTTAGTTTTGTAAATTAAAATTTACTTTAAATCAGACATATCACAATTCTTAAAATTTTATAGCTCTTGCTTATAATTTGCATTAGCTTTTTACTATCTTAACTAATTTATATTCTTTATTTTATAGCTCGTAAATTACAATTTTTTTTAAAGAAAATTCCTCTATATAAATTTTGATTAATCAGGTAACTGTATACTATTTCAAGTTAAATATATCATTACTTCTCGGGCTCTTCGTTTTATTTTTTTTTTATTGTTTTCCGTCTAATTGTTATGCAAGAAACAAAAAGTCCAAAAATAAGGCTAAGTCTACGATTTGGATAGGATATGCTACCAAGCTGAATCAAGTACGTACAAGCAAACAAATAATAACCAAAGTGTTTGAAAAATGCCAAAATAGTATTCTATCGAGCCTCAGGGCCTTCATTGTCCAAAGATGTTTACTCAATATTGTTACTGATTATCTCACGACGCATTGACGACTGATCCATCAACATTGAGGTTCTTTCAACACAGTCTCATAAATTGAGAGATATACTAAGTTACATGTGAACTCACATATATTGCGGTGTCTTTCTGTTCTTCAGTAAATTAAATCGTGATCCACCTGCAAGAATCAAACATTAGGGTTAGAAACTTGCAAAAGTGGTCGAGCTACAGTTTAAAATATGGATGATGATTTTTGTTCTCTTGAGTTTGCGTCTGTTTTCCGGTGTAATACAAAACAGAGAAAAAGAATGAATTCAACTGCTGAATATGTAATACAAAAAGAAATCGAATAGATATGTATATCTAATGATTTATCTCTGTTTTATAACTAATGGTTTTTGTTTTATGTCGATTTATATTTAATCATGTGTACTATGCAAGCACCCAATGGAGACACGAAGCCATTTGTTCTTCTAGCTTCTCAGCAGAGATATGGCATTCCTTAACGAAGGGGCTTCTTCAACGAAGATACTCTGCAGACTGGAACACCATCATCACAATCATATTCGACACAGCCATGCCTTAAGTCGTTTCTTATTAGATAAGTATTTCAGGCAACAATACATAACCTCTAAGTCAACTTTTTTTTTTTTTTTTTTCCATAGATTACACTCTAATAATCGGTATTAGAGTTATAATCTTCTTGTTCAATCTTCATAAGACATTAGTTAATAAGATAATAAAATGTTGTGGGTTGTTTATGATATTGTATACTTCAACAATAGTTTATGTGTTACATTTTCTGTCTACTGCTTATTTTATTGCGTGTGTTATGTTAATGCAAGTTCTTGGTCATGTTTGGACTTGCTCCACTGAGTTGTTGAACTTGTTATCTTTTCAAATATTTTGTAAAACAAATAATTTCTTTTACAATTTTATATATTTGCAGAGAGCAAGCACGAAGCAATGAAGTTTCTGTGAATAAAGTTTATATAAAAGACGTTGATGTGTAATGAAGTCATGCGATCGAGGTAGCGGAAGATCTTGTGAACCATGACCAGGTAATGTCTTTTACAATTTGTGTACTTAGTTATAGCTACAATTGTATAAAGGGAAATGGTTCTGTAAGGGAAATAATTTTCCTTACAATCTAGGTTTATGCATCAAATAAAATTCAAACTTACGCAATATTGACTTCCAAATCCGAGCATAGAAAATACGTAATCAAGAGAGCAGGAAAGATAGTGGATTGGTCGAATAGGAATTCATACATTAAAGTCAGTCAGATAAAACATATGGGGTAAAACATACATGTAAGGTAAAACATTCAACCAAGCATAATTGATTATAACCATTTAAATTTCCTTTATCCTTGCATTAGTGAAAAAGAAAGCCTAAAAATAGAAAAGAAAAAGCCTACAAGAAGAACACATCGCTTTAAAAAGTGAAGCCAAGAAGGAAAGGATGGCAAATATATCAACACCCGATCCATCAAGTAGTGGAGAAACAAGCGGGAAATTCGCCATTAATGGACGAATACGATGAATCATAACTCTCCAACAATGTCGTGTTATGTTTCACGTCTTGATAATGGTGACAATGGTTCTCTTCAAGTGTTGAAGCTAAATCACCAAACCGAAGTGTGCCACAGTGACTAAGATGATCTTCACTGGAACCACACATGTTCTTCATTTCCTCATTTCCTTCAAGCCCTTTCTCCTTATAGTCCTGTGGTAGGCTTACAAGGGCAGGACACTGCTCTTGGGCCAACACCGCACTGAGGTCGATATGGCTTGTGTATTCTCCCAAGAAGGTCGAATCTGTTGACGTGTTTAGGAGAAACGGTGGGATTTCATTAGACGAGATGAGCATGGGAAACTGAGTTTGTGTTTCTTGTGTGGCAAGAAAGAGATTTGTGAGGTGTTGTTGGTCTAAATATGAAAGCGGATTGAAAACGTTGGTGGATTTATCGTAGGAAGTGTAATCCAAGTAAGAGAAGGGAGTTATAGTGGCAACAGGAGGAGTTGTGCTGTCACTAGTTTTGGGAGTGTTCATATTCTCATGGTGAAACTGGAAGTGAGAGCTAGTATTGAGGGTTTTTTCTGAAGTGAAGTGGGATGCGTTTGATGGCTTTTGGTCGATCATTGTATCGATGCTTTTCTCTGGTGGTAACGAGGAAATAAAGGAGTGAGAGAGAGCTCTTAGGGTCGTCGTGTTTGTCTTTTTGAAGATTCTGCATATAGCCCATGAATCCTGCATCCATATCAATTAAATTTATATTAAAAAATAATCTTCAACAAAATAAGAAACTAACTATTTTCAATTAAATGAGAGTTGTATAATCTATAGTATTAACTAACTATATTAAGTTGTATAATCTAAAACGAAATAAGAGACTAACTATTCAAACATAAATATTTGCGGTTAGTGTAATAATTCATTTCATAGTTATAAGAAGATTATTTTAAATATTCACAAAAATGGAAGATTATTTTAAATTTATGTTTCTCGTTTGGGTTAGTAATGTTAAGAAAATACTTGATAAAAACTCCCATCGTTATTTTAAAATATAAACGTACGAGACAAGTTAATCATAGACATTAGACAGGGAAAACACAATATTTAATGAGGCCCTTGAATATATATATATATATACATACATCTCTTGTATTTGTCAATTGTGTCTTTTAAAACAAAAACTTGAAACCATTATTTTTGCTTTCTTAATGTTATAGATTAGAGTTATTAAACCAAATACAAATGGGTTTAAAAACTTAATTATCCTCAGAAACTTCTAACACAAATCTTGCGGCCTTATTAACTAGTAATAGCCTGAGTAGTGCGTCCGTTTCGAGTTTCGACCCTATATTCTTAAAAATAAAGTAAATCTCTAGACAGATCATTGAGTTAATGTGAGCTTACGTTGGGAGGGACAGGAGAATCAAAGAACCTCTTTGAAGAAAGAGATGGTTCGGAGAGAGAAGGCAAACGAAACTCATGCATCA